CGTCCAGTAGTGCTTCATGTGTGAGGACACCTTGGAGCGTTACTGACAGGTATGCCTTCTTGGCGACCCCCCTTCTGATAAAGTTACACAGAAACCTCTTAGGTTTTTTCTGACGTTTCTTTACACGTTCAGCCTTGTCTGTGTAATCTTGGTTTGTCTGAACCGTCAGCACAGCAGTAGCTGTTTCTGAGTGTTCAGCTTGCGATGACTCGTCATTGTTTGTGTGTGAGTTCACCCCCCCCCCTTCCGATGAGGGGTTGTTGGAGGCAACAACAACAATGTATTGGTGTGTACCACCGACATCTGTAATGTTGTCATTCGCGCCCTCAGATGCAATAGTGATCACATCACTGCATAGTGCTCCAGGTTGGTTTCCCGTGTCAGTGTGTTTCAAAGTTTCTAACAACCTGCGTAGTTTCTCTGTCTCTTCCGAGCTCAGAGGTGTAGGGCCTTATTTCTGGAACCTTTGTGATTTTTTCGCCTCGGTTCGTTTCGTCTGAGGTGGGGGAGGGTTAGGTACGTCTTTTGGGGGTTCCTTTTCGGACTTCCCCTGATAATATGGGTCACCTTGGTTCCCATATCTTTTCGTCCTACGCACACCCCACTTACGATAATCACGTTCATCCTCTGAAAGAGGAGCTTTTTTGTCCCAGCGTGCACCTTCATGACGCGGTTTGTTAGTTTGAAAAGACTGCTTTTTCTCGCCTTTCTTAGGAGGAGGAGGCGATGCACGCCGTCCTTCCAGTTCTAGCGAATGGGGTTTAACCTTTACACCAGGAAACACCTCTATGGGCGTCTTAGCATGAGAACATGCCTCAAACACATTCACAGCACACTGTTTAATCTCATTGATGGATTTTTCTTTGAAATTTGCCATCATTTGTACTGACGTTTTTATGTCAGCGTGGAGATTTTTGCTGAAAACAAATTTAAAACCTTCTTCCTCCTCCATGCCGGTTTCATTCCTGTAACCAAAATAAGCTTGGAAGATTCTTTTGTAATAAACCTTTGGATGTTCATGCTTCCCTTGCGTGACCTTGTCTGCAGCTGGGAAGCCACCAGGCCCCGTGTAGGGGTCGTATTCCTGTAGTTCATCTACATTCCCTGATCAAAGCTTCACACAGAAGGTTGTAATCCCTTCGCGTGGCATCAGGATGACGCTCGATGAAGGTGAACACCTCTCTGTCCGAAGTGAGCCTTATCAGACTGATTTTATCTTCAACACTAGCATTAGGATAACCACTCAGTCTGAAATCTAGGTCATTGAGATACGCCTTTGTACCAGTAGAACCCATAGGCCCAAAAATTAAGCGTTGAACATATTTTGAGATTTTTTGCAAATCCGAAATTGAAAGAGGAGCTCTCGACGGTCTCTCTTGCCAGCTTGGTAGAGGAGACCTGGACAGGTCTGTCCCTGCTCCTTTAGGTAAGGGTGGAGGTGCATGTGATGGAGGGAGATTTGGGTCCGGAGCCCAGTGTGTCCCCACATTCTGTCCACGCCTCACACTATTTTCCTTTTCCGCATGGCAAAGTTGCGTTTTAAGCATGTCTATCTCAGCTCTGCACTGGTACAATCGTGATACCGTTTCCTTGTACTCCTCATTTAATGAAGAGTATGTCATGGAAACCTGGTCTTCGACTTTCCTAGCTTCAGTAAGTGATGCTGAAAGTGACTGTACTTGCTCGTTCAGTGAATCAATTTCTGCACGTGCGTCTTGCTTCAATCGAGT